TTTACTGTCTTTAATAACGGACACCAGGTCGTATGAGTAATATGAAATAAGAAATACATAAGTACTAATGTACCTTAACATGAAATCGCAAATATTTTGTTAGGTCCTGGACGAGTTTTCTTCTGCATTTAGTAGTGGCAGAACCGACAGTTTCACGCCGCCTCCGAATGGCAAATGGTATCTCATGAATAGCTTTTTAATGGCAGATGTACAACAGACTGTATCGCGAAAATAAGTTTGCAATTACCCCCCATAATTTGGTAGCTTCCTTTGAGAGGATTTTAGGATCACAGAAATTTTCGTCTTTTGCGAATCTTAAACATAGCTCAGATCCTTTCACCCTAGATTGCCTCCTTAAGGTACTAAGTTCAAATTCTACCCCATTATATACAACTTTAGTAAGCGATGCTTACCGATCCCGAACCCTACTAGATTACTTGCCAGCCAGCCTAAATTGCTCGCTTGCCATGGCGTATGAGTTATCTATGAACATCAAAATTTACTTCGGTTGAAAGATAAATTTCAAGTCACTGTACTTTTCTGTATTTTAATTAATCTTTACGCCTTCAAGAAAGAAAATGCATCTATTCCGAGGTCTCGTCATCCTCAAAAGTCAGCATACTGCTTCAGTGGGAAGACCAATCCGGTGCATATATAAATACCAAACGAGGATCCTGATGCCAGCCCTTTCCTTTCCTCTTTGTCTAAATATATCTTTACTTCCCAGTACTTACTGTCTCACAAGTTTACCGACACAATAATTAACAGCCCCAAGCAAGGCAGGCCAAATGAGTCCTTAAACTGCACTACAGATACTGAGCCTTCTCTCGACAGTTTGTCAGCAACTTCGTTGTTCTCCGCTGCCAAGTATTCGATAGTATCGAAATTTTATATTACGAACTTGGAAGTCATCAACCTATTTGAAAGAGCCCTAGTGGAAAATTTACTATATAAAAACATAAGATAATAACCTTTAAAATCTTTTTTTGCTGTGAACTGGTGCAGGTTAGCATTGCTAACACCTCCACCAGAAACACTGAGGACCATAGCTTCGTGTCTAGTCGATAAAACCTCTTCTATTTTCCATTCTTGAAATATTTGTGTACCAATGTCTACATCTGGGATCCAGATACAATGCTTGTTTTTCATGCCAATTATGAAAAGTACCGACGGAAATTTTTTTATTATTCGCACGTGAATAAAAATATGTAGCTAAGTCCATATCGGGAGCGACTCCAGACCCGTGGTTGAACAAATTCTCATTGATACTAGAGCCGAGAACGGTGTTAACCTTTGAAGTTTCTTTAAAAATTGATTGGCCGTTTCTTGTTATGTTTTTGGGCTCAAAACTACAGAGCGGCACGCTCTATAAACTTTGAGCTCAGAACCCATGTCAGCTCAAAATGTCTTCTACAAACCGGCATACTAAGAGCGGGCCATACTAAGAGCTAATTGGTAGTTCCAACTCAGCCTCTTATCGAAGCTTATACGAAGATATTTGATTTCATATACATATATGTGTATATATATATGTATGTCCGCAAGCAGCTGATGTCACAATATAAAAATCTCGCACGTGGTTTTGCAGCAGTTTGAAGGTTTTCACCCAGCATTCGGTGAGTCAACCTGAATTTCATCTGATTGCCACAGTTTTACAATGGGACATCCTCTACAAGAATCCTCTATTTTTCTATGTAATTTCCATATAGTTCATGTCAAAGCAGCTCCGTGCAAGAACCTAGTTGTTCACATCAGTCTGATGAGAAAGTATGCATAAGTGATCAAGAAAAAAGTAAGCAACCGATAATTTTGATCCACGCCTCCAGCAACTGGAAGCTGCTTGATATTATAGCAAACATCTTAAGATAGCGTTAGTCTGAGGTTCATGTAGAGTTAATAATAGAACACGGATAATTTCGTCCTTCTTCAAACTCTTCCGCATCCGAGACGATGGTTCACAGAATCAGTTTTCCAGATGTTGCTGCCTTCATGCCTCATATGAGCGCAGAACGATCCACTGGAACCCAGCGCTGACCTGAACATCAAATTTATTAAGTAATATTATTATAGAATAGCTCCTTAATTCCACCATAAATAGAGACTGTATATTCATGTAGTTGCACTCATAGAGAATTTGTCCTTCACAAGAATACAATTGTTTAACTATTCTAATATTTTTAGAATTTTTTGATCGTATACTTTCCAACTAAGGAGTAATAAGCTTTTTTTGCTATGTAAAAAGCGTGATACAGAAGGTAATACGAACTTCTAGCAACTCGACAACGGCAGCCGGTAAATGTTTTATGGAAAAACCCTAGTGCTTTTGAACCTAAATGCTAGTTAATGGTGTTCTTTTTTCAATATTAATTTGGCTAACTCATTTGAAAATGTCAACAACAATACCGTTGGGGATGCCACAACAATGGACGTCAATGTTATTATATATATTTTGTTGTGTACATTTTCTGTTCGATGAGTGTTTACTTGTATCTACTGTGTACAAGCGTACACTAATTCGGCACGTATTTAGCTTTGCTTCACTGCACCAACATTCTCGTTCGACCCGTCACAATTAATTACTATATAATTAGGTAATTTATTTGCATAATCACCAATGCATATTGCCACATGTCTTTTCGAGTCATGTCGCATATGTGTGTTGTTATGTACAAGCAGTAGTGATGTTTTAAGCCACTTATGCCATTAGCAAGGTAAGCTGCTTTAAACGAGCATGGGAATATGGGAGCGTGGTCGAACATTTTTGCGACTATTAATATTTTACATATAGGTAGGTGCATTAGAACGTACAAGAAAAAAGTTCGCCATACACTTACTTGTTTAAGGAATTTTTGCAAGGCAATTTCGAAAAAATTATTTTTTTGGTCGTACGTATTTAGGTGTCGCCCTTATACATTCTTAAATCTTAAAGGATATAATTTTTTTGCTCCAAAGTTTATCGACCTCAAGTACCCCATTCTGGTACTTACCTATCAGATCTCAGTTCTTATCACCCTAACGTACCACCCTAATGTCAGTAAATCAAAGCTCAACAAAAATTAGTAAACTTTTGTTAAGGAAGTATTTTGATTATTCTAGTAGAGCTGTTTAAAAAACATTTAATATTGCCAAAAAATGTAAGAGGTTCGGTAAAAAAAAAAATAAAATTTGGAACTGCCTTGCAAACATACTTTAGTTTCAGTAGACCTCTGAGTTAGTAATTTTTATTCATTATATTTCATTGGAAAATTTTTTTGAATTCAAAAAATTGGAGCTGGGAAATATGTTTTTCTTACAGATTTTAACAGTTTAGTCAAGGTTTCGAAACTGTGATTTTTTTGGTGCTTCTCCAGTCGAAAGGAGTGCACAAGTTTTTTTAAATTTTACATATATTTCAAATAATACGTTCTGCCCATTTTAAATAATTAGTTTTTTGTTACTATCTCTCCGCTGATTTTTTATTTCGATGATTTCTGGAAACTCGTAAATTTGGAAAACTTCAAACTCTAAATATTTTTCTTTTATAATTTGACATCTTTGTGAAAATTTCTAGGATTTTGGGGTTTTCCAGATTTTTTTCCCGTTAAACACCTTCACACAAGTAGATAAATAACTACGGTTTATATTATATATTTTATGATATGCTAAGAGCTTAATAAATATATGTAATGTGATGTGAAAAAGAAATTTTAAATTTAAAATTTTTGAATTTTTTTCAAAAGGTTTTAATAACATTAGTTAAATTATAATGAAAAATAGTTTAAATTCATACATATCCAATAAGAGATATAAGTACGCCGCTAAATTAATAAATAGGTCTTAAATTTCATTATCTTTTCTATTCAGGGTTAAATTAGCATAATTTAAAGACTTTATTTCAAATGTCTGGAAACATGACCAAATACTTAAAAATTCACAAAATTTTCATATAAGTAGGGTAACTCTTTCAAGCAGGAAGAAAGATAAAACATTGGAAATCAGACTTTTATAGCCTTCAAAAGGTTAAGAGAAGACAATGGTTTATTTGACAGAAAATACTAATATATATATACATTTTAGACACTTTTATATACATTTTAGACATTTTTTTGTTTTTCTGTGTATTTCCGTTTTGATGTGAAACATATTTTTTAATAAAAAAAAAATTAAAAATAAATGTTAGAACGTAAATCATAAAAATTTTTTAAAAAGCATAAAAATTAAAACGAATTTCTAAAAATTCACACAATTTTCTTATGAGTAGAATAACCCTTAGTAAAATACGGTTTTTTAGTCTTCAGTCTATTTATCCTGTTTTATACGTTTTTGTCGAAAAATGTAACAACTCCTGAGTTTTTCGCATTTAACTACAGATACTATGCTGGTTTTTGCACCTATTCACATATGTATGTACATATCTTAGCACTTCCGTACTTTTTTGTCTTCTACAAAAATTTCAAATTCTCTTTTATTTTATTATTTAAGTCTGTCATTTTGTTTGCTTTCATTATTTTTTTACTTCCAAAAACTCAGTTTATCACACACATTTATATTTAAAAGAAGTTTTACAAATTATCTAGTATTTACTTTCATTTTATCAGGGCTAAGACAGCCACTCATAATTTCCTCGCTCTTCCAGGCCTTGATGGGGTCACATATGGACGTGAGTTGTGCACACAAACACTTATGAAACGATACCAAAAATTTGGGTATTTCTACCTTTTGCTTGTGCTCCAGGAGTGTTGCTCACTACTCACTAAACTTATGGCACTTCTTGTTATTAGGTATATTTCCTTGAATCCACTTCAGGCTCGCACTAGCTTAGCCTTTTCCAACATTCTTACACTATTTGCCTTACTCGCGGACATTTTTTGCATTTTCCTTAGCACTTAGTACATACTCACTACTCCACTACTTTGTGGTAGTGCCCACGAGTACTATGCGCTCACTCCACTTATGAAAAAATTCAAAAAATGCGCCTTTTTGCGCTAAACACAACGCACACCTGTACTAGGTCCATTTACCACACTCACACACAAGCATCTATTCCCACAATGCTTCACATGCATTTACGAGAGTTAGTGTGCGTATGGACTCCACTTTTTCTTGGTCAAAGTATTTGTGTATTGTTATGCTCCTTTTTCTGGTGCGATTTTTGTTGTTGTTTTTTTTTTTTTTGTTCTTAGAGCTGCCGCCGTCCGCAATCACTTAGAACGACACGACCGCAACGGCGAAACTTAAGCAACAAACTGTTGTCGTTGGTTTGGAAACTTCATATCGGCACCGTTAAGCTAAGCAGACTGTGGAGTCCTTCAACAGGGACTAAGCAGCCTCGAACAGTAAACGTCAGAACAGTTATAGATAGAGAGTAGGAGAACGAGAGCGAGAGCAAGTGTTGCGAATGAGTGTCTCGTGTGAGCGTTTACTGCTGCGGCATTTGCTCTGAAGTAAAGGCCAAAAGGCGGTTATTGTTCGATGGCCGATGAACAATATAGCTGTGTTGTTATTGTTTAATGCCTGAAAGCTTTCACGGCGCAAATTTTCACTGGCTAACTGTTGCTTTGACGCACTCAAAAACTATAAGGACAGAGTGTTGCAAAAGCATAGAGAGCGCGAGAGGCAAAGTGAAATATACTCGGACAAATGTTGTCAAAAGTTACACTGAAAAAATTGCAATAAAAAGAAAATATAAAAATGGTCAGACCGAAAGTTGAAAAATACAGTAAAAATAATTAAAACATTCTGTAAACATATGCATTTTCGAACGCTTTAAAATAAAAATAGACACAGATATTTTCAAATACAAAAGATTTTTTATCTACCGTTTCAGTGAAAGAATATTTACTGCCAGTTGTTAAATTACAAGAACTTTATGTCCAGCCAAAATTTATGTCCAGTTTTTGAATGACCAAACACATACGCCCAGGTTTTCAATGGCAAAAATATATATACAGTCCTAAAATGTTTAAAAAATTATGTGAATATTTAGAATTACCAATAGTTTATGTGCAGTTATTAACTTCTCAAAAAAATATGGACATTCTCAAATATGAACGATATTTTACAAACCTTTTCAGTGCAGTAATATCTTTTGCCAGTTTATTAATTACTAAAACTTTATTTCCAGCTTAAAATTACCAAAAATTTGTTTTCAGTTATTAAATTATCATATCAAAATCAAAATCTGCAAAGGTATACGACCTTATATCCAGTTTTTCAGTGCCAATCAATTAAACAATTTTTAAACGACAAAAAAATTTATGTCGGTTTTTTAAATGGGGAAAAATGTATATCCACTTTTTCAAAGAGCAAAAGTTTACGTTCAGTTTTTAAATGGCCATAAATTTTAGTCCAAATTTTGAATGACTAAAAATTTATGTCCAGCTTTTAGTTTCAAGCGTTCATATAAACGTTAGCATATTCACATAGTACATACAGTGGCGGTCAAAAATGGATGAATGGTGTTTGGTTTTAAATATTTACAATGTTTTTCAAACAAAATTTTTTTTGGTATTTTTTTATAAAAATATGTTTCATGCTCTAACAAAAACCGTATAAATCACACTTTCAAAAAAAAATCCACAAATTTGTATCTAAATTTCGAGCTTTTTAACCATTATTAAAAAAAAAAATGTTGGGTATGCAGTAAACAAGCTTATAAAATTGTATTAAAATAAATGCAGGTTTTGAGCAGTTAAAAAATCGCATTGATATTTAATATATTTTTTTTTTTACAGCGTTTTGCACTTTTTTCCATATACACATAAATTTCTTATGGAAGAATATGCTCAAGACCGTTTGCAAAAAAAATTTAAAAAAGTCAACGCCAGTTTTCCTGAATTTCGCTATTCATATGAAAAAAAAACGTAAAAGCCGCCATCAAAAAATAATTATTAAAATGCGAAATTTTAGCCGCTCAAAATTTGCACTTAATTTACTAGAATTATATAAGCTTGTTAACTGCACACCCACAAGATTTATAAACCTTCTGGTTAAAGAGCTCGAAATTTAGATACAAATTTGTGGAATTGTGGATAAAGTTTGAAAGTGAATAGTTTTTGTTAAAGCATGAACCATGTTTTTAACCGACTTCCAAAAAAGGAGGAGGTTATCAGTTCGTCGGAATCTTTTTTTTTTTTTTTTTTTTTTTATGTATGTTACCGCATAACTTTGGACCACGTCAACCGATTTCGATAATTCTTTTTGCATCGGAAAGGTAGTTTTATATGGGAGTTGAAGTCGGTTTTTTTTTTGCTAAAAATTACTTGTTATAAAAACATATCAAAAAAACTTTTGCTTGAAAAATATTGTAAATATTAAAAACGAAACAACATTCATCCATTTTTGACCGCCACTGTATGTATGTATGGTAGGTACATCGCCAGCTTCAAACAATTCACATAAATACGAATCTACGGCGACGACCAACGACCACATACATCCCGTTTTCCCCATTTTGGGCACCCACATGTTTGCGTGTTTACCTTCAATTTGCACGCATCCTATATTGCAATATCCAACTAGGTACAACTTTTGCATTCGCTGGCATTTTGCTCTACTTTGATGTGCCTTATAAAAATTTCACGTTTACGTTAGCTAGTTGTACGCAAATTTCTTGTTGACAAAATTATAGTTTATATGTTGTACTTGTACATACATATGTACATACATACATACATACTTGTATATGGCACCGCTGTCGCATGCGATGGGCTTGTGCTGACGTTGTCGCGACTCCGCTGCATGTTAGAGATTTGTTTGGGGAACGTGACTCGTTTTGCACACGCTTGCATACTCATCCTATTCGTGAACACACCTTTGCCTTTCTTCCTTGACTGCTTTGCCGCTTTGCGCACGGCTTGGCGTGTCAGCAAAGTTTTCAAGTTTCATCGGCGACGCAGCAACTTGCGCAGTAAAAGTATAGAAATTAGTCTATAGCACGCAGCGAAAGCGAAACTAAACATGTGAGTTGTGGAAATTCTTCAATATGACAAAAAGACGAGTTTATAAAAGTGATATGATTGTTTTTTAATATGCCACGAAAAGGTTAGAATATCATGTTGGGCTAGAATACAGCGCCAAGATGTCAACTAAATAGAACTGTTGTGATAGCGCAAATCCCAAGTGTACACATTTTTCTAATATAATATTCATAATTATTTTCATGAAAAATTGTTTGCCTTATTTATTTATGAAAATATAGTTCATTCTATAATATAAACCATATAAATCAAAGCTCACAGTTAATATAAAATTAAAGAAAATTCATAAAAATGTCATCCAAATTTTTAACTTTTTATTCAGAATTTCTACAAAATTTTCGAGTATGCAGTTTTTTAGTCCATTCGATTTCAACCATCTATTTTGAGAATTTTTTTTGGTGACTGCTTTTGCGGTTTTTCTTATGTTTTTTTTTTATTTAACAAGTGCAATTTACAAAAACTGGCGTTGATTTTTTGAAATTTTGTTTGCTAATTTGCTAAATTTTTTGAAATTTTGTTTGCTTCCGCGTTTTATTTCATAGAAATTTTGAACAAAAAGTTGAAAATTTGGATAAAATTTATTTTGAATTTTTGTGAACTTTATATAAAGTGTGAAACTATTTACTGGTTTATATTATAGAATGAACTACATATATTTTCATAAATAAATAATGCAAAATTTTTTTCATGAAAATAATTGTGAATATTATATCAGAAGAAGGTGTACACTTTCATTTGTCGCCTAGTTTATATGAGGAGGAAATGCCTGTCATATATTTGCTTTAATATTGACATTGAGGAATAAGATTTATGTGGATTAAGATTTATACAAGGAAGAAGGTAAAGTAGAGTATATAGAAGAAAAAAGGGATAAAGGCAAAGATTGAAATAAAAGTAAAGAAACCTAAAGATGAAGCCGAAGCTAAATACTTAATATAATAACAAAGGTGGTGGTGAATATGTAGTTGTAGAAAAGAATGAAGATAAAGATCAGGATTAAGGTAAAGGAAAAGATAAAGGTAAAAATGAAAATATAAATATAAAGATAAACACAAAGGTAAAACTAAAGAATAAAACACAAAGGTAAAGACAGAGATAACGACAGAGACAAAGAAAAAAAGGTACATATGAAGAATGGGACATGGTCTGTTATGCCATATTATAATATCTTATGTTGTGTTATGTTACCACAACTGACCACAGGACACTTCAAATCACCTCAACTGCCCTCGTCTCACATCAACTAACCCTACATAAAGTCCCCTCAGTTCACCTCTACTCACCTAAACACACCTCATCCCAACACACCTCATTTCAACGCAACTCAATTCACCTCACCTAACTTCAACTCACCTCAATTAATGCTATTGCACCTCAACTCACCTTATCCCACCTCAAGTCACCTCATCTCCCCTCAACTCATCTCACCTCAGCTCAATTCACCCTAACGCACCTTACGTCATCTAAACTCACCTCACCTGAACTCATTTCACTTCATCGTAACTCAGCTCCACTCAACTCACCTTAACTCACCTCAACTCCCCTAATTTTATTTTATATAAATTCATAAACTCGCTTACAATCAGACTCACAGAGACTTTTTTTATCAAATGGAATCGATTTTAGTCCAAACTGAAATGCGGATGCCATAATACTGCACAGCAACATTGCAATATGCAATAAATATCATTCATATGTCAGCTTACATGCTTAACCGCCGCGCAACGTCAAATATATCACTCATACGCACTGCCGTTCAAAACTTTTGAAATACCTCTATACATTAGGGGTATTCTCGAAGTCTTGCACGATGCACGGATTGCAAGAAATGCAAAAATACTATTCCAAATTTCGAGGAGTACGAGAGCACCCCATTGCAAAGTGGTAGCAACAGCAAAAAAAATGAAGTGAGCGAGATGAGAGGAATGAGAGAAATATGTAGCAATTCCAACAACAAAAGAACTAGCACAGGGTCGCATTTATCTTGCTATGCTATTTTGCAAAATATGTACTTGGGTTTCGGCGTTGCATATTTTGCAGCGAAAGGAAATGTTGTTTCCCACGTATTTTGTTGTTGTGTGTTTGCAAGTTATGCAATCCATGCAATCCGTGCTATGTGCAATGGCTTTGCAAGATTTGAAGAATACCCCTATTGCATAAACACGAGCATAGTTGAATAGTGTGACTGCTTTAAGACATGCATATTTCTTTTGCTACTAACCTCACAAAGCAAAATAATCTACGACTGT